CTGTTAAGACACAAATAAGGGGAACAGAGGGACAAGTGTACAAGAAAAGGCAACATCAGCCTTTAAGTAATGTAACTGACAGCCAACCACTCGAACAAACTAAATAACAAACTAGACAAGTGGAGAGGCTGATATAACAGAATTGTAACGGAAGTTTTATAAATAAGGGAAGGAAGCCAAAAGAGGAGGTATTGATTTTGGGAATTCAGTCTCTCTCTCTCTCTCTCTCTCTCTCTCTCTCGTTTCATGAGGTAGGCTTCCTCGAAAAGCCCTGAGTTAGGCAGTTACCTAACTATTTTATTAGTACTTTGTTATTATTATTTTATTAGTATTTAATAATTAATATCTTAGTATCATTATTCTCTAAATATATCATTCTATTATTATTACTTTAATAATATTTCTATTATTATATTTGATTAATGATTTAATATTTTATTCTTATTTTCTTATTAGCTTATCAATATTATATTATTTTTGTTTATTATTTTAAAATAAATTTATTATGATTTAATAATATAATATGTTAGTATTTTATTATTACTTTAATGATAATATATGAATATTTTATTTGTACTTAATTATTATTATGATTATTATGAAATAAATAATATCTTTGCTTTTTATTATTAATTTATTAATATTTTATTATAGTATTGTTATTTTGTGAATATTTTACTAATATTTTATTGTTATTTTAATTATTAATATACTCTTGTTTTACTATTATCATCTTATTATTAATTTAATAATATTTTATTATTTTATTAGTATTAGGACTGGGGGGCTTTTTTTCATGAGTTCTTTACTTCTTGACACTCTAGAATGGGACTCCCATTCCCTAGGGAGGGGGCTTGGAATGGCCATTCCCCCAAGAATGGGAATCGGAAACCCATTACTACCAAACAAACAATAGGAATCGGAATGGACCAGTTAGATTCCAATTCCGGGCACCTATTCCTGGAAACCAAACGGGTCCTTATTTTCTTTAATCTTGAGAGCTAATAAGGATGTTACATCCTGCATCTAGAATTCCATTTGTCTTAACCAATGTTTAGAGAACCGGACTGGTCATAAAACTGGAGAAGGGAGAGGTTCATGGGTCAGATGTTCAACCGGTGTCGAACCAAAGGTCAAACTATGATGGCATGGCATATATGTATATATATTGTGGGTTATATAAATACTATATATAATATATTTTATAAGTTTTAATATACTTAAATATGGTGGATGGATGGCAAATTCCTTAATTTTTGAAGCATGACCAAGGTTCAAGTCTCTTTATTTACATTTTCTTTAAAATACGTGTGTAATAAAGTAATATATACAATAAAGAGTCATTAAATAGCATAAGTAAAGTGGTGGACTAGTCAAATTTCAGAGCAAACGAATAGGCCCTTAGTGACCAGGGCGGTTTCATGAAACCAGAACTGGTTCATTGATTTTCTGGTTAAACTGGAAGGTCAGCCGGTTTTCACCAGGGTTTTAGACATTGCAGTTCTTGGGGTGTGACCAAACCGGCCAGGACCACAGGTCACGGTTCAACCGGTCCAGTTTTCTAAACACTGGTCTTAACAGAGATGGATTTAAAAATCAACTTGGATTTCTAAAACAATATCTTAGAAAGACACTACCATTTAAAAATAGTTGTCATCAAGTGGTCATTTGGAAAAAATAGCTATGAAGGATAGAGTAAATTCGGTTTCTACAACAGAGATTACTATTATACAATGCTATATGAAAGATTGACAGATAGAAATAGTTATCAGATATCATGAACTCAATAAATGCTTACCAAGAGCCCACCAGTCAATGGCACTACTGTGGCCTGAACCTGTGATAATTTCCTGAAATCAAGAAATCAATGTCAATTCTAGAAAGAATAAATCAATGGTATAACTTCCAATATAACTAACAAGTTCCATTATTAAACATGAAAGAACTTCCTATAGACATGATATAGAGTTAGCAAGGGAGTAAAAATTTTGGAACATACATTATTGCTCTGATTGATTGAATGACTTGATTCACAAATACTTATGTTCTGAAAATTATTCCTATTTCTACCAAATGTCAAAACATATTCAACCATGTCGAACTAGTGTCAGTTTGTAAATTATGATTGAATGACTTGATTCACAGAGTAATTTATGATTACCAGAATAACACTCACAAAGAAAGTAATATCCATGTCGAACTAGTGTCAGTTTGTAAATTTATATGGAAAGTTAGAGTTAATATTTCTCTAGGAATTAAAAACAAGCAACAGGTTTTGGAGTTAACCTTACAAGTACAATTAGGGGTGAAAGTAGGATCAGGCTAGGTAGGGTTGAGGTCAACCCTAGCCCAATCTGAGGTTCTGAACCCCCAACCTGACCTTTAATCCAACCCAGTCAACCCTAATCCTAACCCAACCTAAAATACCTCAACCCGAAGTTGACTTTGGGTTAGGCCCAAGCCAACCTTCTCCCATCCACTTAAAATCTCTTAGAATCTCTCAAATTCTCTTAATATTTAATTAAGAGACCAAAACTTAACTTCTATGACCATATATTACTCATATTTTTTACTGGTATTTGCTTGTTTGATGTTTTTATTGTTTCCTTAGTACAAAAGTGAAAAAAAAAATCATGAAATCCTCAATAAAAAAAAAGAAACATAAAATTATGGAATGAAAATCACTGATGATAACTTGTCATTAAAGTCAGGCTTAAGTTGTTATTTGTTGAAGCATTTGAAAGAAAAGAACATAGAAATTTTTTGAGAGAGATCATTCTGAGATGGGATGAATGGAAAAACAAAAAAGGATAAGGCCAGAAATGAAGTCATTTGAAAGAACCTAGAAGTAGCTCCAATAGGTGATAAAGTGAGAGAAAATAGACTAAGATGGTTTGGTCACTTGCAAGAATTGATCTGTTGCAAGTTAGGGCTAGGGATAGTCAAAAACAGACATGGGTCAAAATAGTTAGAAATGATTAAAGTACCCATAATTCATCAATGGATATGGCATTAAACAGAACGGAGTGGCAAAACAGGACTCATGTTGTCGACAACATATAGCTGGGATAAGGCTTGGATGATGATGATCATTCTCATCTAGTTGGATATGGCACTGAACAGAAAGGAATGGCGAAACAGGATTCATGTATCTGACCCCATATGGTTGGAGCAAGCATCATCATCTCATCTAATGTTCTCATGGACTGATCTTTTGGCACTTGAAGATTTTGGTCCTTTAGTACAAGGGATATTTAGCTGAACACTGTTTTGGGTGCAGAGCATTATAAAGCTGCAGCTCAAATTGGTTTTTCTCAACATGCTTATATGGTTTTATTTGACAAAATTTTTTATTACTCAAAAAAGAAACTCATACTGTCACTTTGAAACAGTATCAAAGTGCATGGAGTTGTAATCAAGTAAACCTATCTGTCTAGGAAAATTTTGAACAACCTCATCATCATTATCATCTAAGCCTTATCCCAACTATACGGGGTAAGCTACATGAATCCTGTTTCTCCATTCCATTCTATTTAATGCCATATCCATTGTTAAATTATAAGCACTACAATCATTTCTTACTACTTTCACTCATGGCCTTTTTGGTCTGCCCTTAGCCCTTCTAGCCCCTTCAACTTGTAACAGATCACTTCTTCTTACGGGTGCTGTAGATGGTCTTCTATGCATGTGACCAGAACCATCTTAGTCTACTTTCTCACATCTTATCACCTATTGGAGCTACTCCTAGGTTCCTTTGAATGACTTCATTTCTGACTCTATCCTTTCTCGTTTTTTCCACTCATCAGTCTCAGCATGCATTTCTGCCACTCATTTTTGGACATGTTGCTTCTTGACTTCCCAACACTTTGCTCCATACATCATAGATGGCCTTACAACTATGTTTATAGAATTTTCCTTTTAACCAAACTAGTATTTTCCTATCAAAAAAGACTCTGGATGCACCCTCCATTTTTCCCATTCTGTTCTAATTCTATGGGAAACATCCTCCTCAATCTCTCCCTTGTTATGAATTATTGAACCAAGGTACTTTAAAAGGTCAATTGAGTTATCTCTTGGTCTCCAATCCTAAGCATACCCTGATTTTCACTCCTAACATAGCATATATTCTGTTTTAGTCCTACTTGTTTTAAAACCCCCTGTTTCCAGTCAAAATTAACCACCTAAAAAATTTTAAAATGTCCTTCCCATTATGAGTTGATAAATGGGAGGGAAAGTAGATTTTGTGATTATTGAGGTCAGAGGTTATCATACCGGGGCAATGTACTCTTCAGTTCCAACAAATGAATTTGATTGAGTAACAGGTTCTGCAACAAACATGGGAGGTGGTTGACTCCTAGATCTTCGTTTAGTAGGCATTGGGTGCTTTATAACCTGCCATAAAGGAAATAAGAATTGTAAAAACAAAGGACAAAAACAATTCCTATTCTTTTAGGATATAGGATCCATCATTAAACACATTTGCTAAGGAAATCAGCTGTTAAAGATCAAATCATCGTGCATTGCAAGTTCAATGACAGCAAAGAGTAAAGAAAGGTAAATCAATGAGTGCAAGAGTCAGCATAGTGTCACAAAGGAAGAATAACAAAAGTAAGACTTGATATAAGGGAAATTGTTGAAAAGAGGAGGAAAGAAGCTATTCCATACACAAATGATGATGATGATGGTGATGGTTTGAGAAATAAATTGAAGTAGAACTAGTTACTTCAGATGCGATTAAGTTACATGCCTGGAATGATACAGAGACAACACTCCTACTTTCTAATTATTGTAAATAATACTGTTTGAAATTCAACTATTCCATTTGAGCTCCCCTTTAATACTCTTTTTTAGGAAATTGAACTTTTAATATTCTTCTTCCCTTTTCTCCTTTTTTCTTATTCTTGTTGTTTCTCTAGTTGCATCAACTAGATATTGTAGTTGTGACATGTTACAGGGAACTAATCTTATGGTACCTTTCTGGTTCTCCTCTACTTCCCTTTATTTCTTTCTCTCTCATTCATTGCCTTCTTCCAAGGAAACATAACTTTGAATACGTTGATATCCTAACTTAAGATCCACTGTCTATAACAAAAGAAACTAGATATTGAACCAGAAGATTCCTCATCACATAGACAATATGGTATGTGATGTCATCCATCCAGTTGCAGAAAGTGTGTCTTTATGGGCTTCAAAGCCTGCACAAAGTAGGACACTGTTCCCCTGTTTAGCTGGATCTTGAGCAATCCAGTGGAACCAGTGAGACTGATCAACTCCAAAAGCTAAATAGGAATTCTATTCATCCAGAAATTTGGCATTTATCATCTGTATCTATGGTTCCCACTTAAGTACGTTTTTCTTTTTCTTCCCTTTAGGTTAGTAAACTACTGTCGGGCAGGCTTGCTAAGTGGTTCTCTTCCTCTGTAATCAGAAACAGAAAAGAAAAGGCTATACTAGGAGAAATTAAAAAAGAGACTTGGAGTAGTATTTAGGGATTGCACCGAAAAAGTGTTGGGTATCTTCTCAGGACCTCTGGGGCTAGGAGATTCACTAAAGTCTGAGTTAATAGCATTAGTAAAAGGGTTAAGAAGAGCTAAACAATCAAGATTTCAGCCTTTGGAAGTAGAGGGAGATTCAAAACTGATAATTTCTTGGGCCAGAAGCAAGCAGCTTGTGCCATGGGTATACAGGCATTAATTTAGGGAATAGAGAGCATTACACAGGAGCTGAACATAACCTTCAAGTGGGTCAGAAGGACAGCAAATGGGATGGCTGACACTCTTGCAAAGCAAGGGGTATATAGGCAACAGATGTTTTGGGCACCGTTGTAAATCTTATTCCTGAAATGGGATTGGAATGAATCCTTATGGGTGGATACACCGTGTCCTTGTAATATCCAGATTATCAGTTTAATATAATCCGATTTTCTTGCTGATAAAAAAAAAAGACTTAGGGTTTAGAAAAGCAAAGGCTAACTAAGAATCCATAATTATATTGTTAGTGACGAGTAATGTAGGGGTATTTCTGTCTTTATACTTATGTTGAGGTTGCTGATCTGTAATATTATATTAGAACTAGTGTCCCTCACTTAAGTAAGGGCACATATGTCTTTTCCATTATGTTAGTAATATAAAACATATCTGGCCGAATGGGAGAGGTAATTTTCTCTCATTCGAACCAGACTTTTCTTCTCTCCTTTTCTCCTCCTTTCTCTCTCTCTTTCTTTCTTCTTTCTTCTTCTCTCTTCTTGGCTGTTATCAGACTAACAGAACTCAAGGGCAGGCCGAGTCATAATATGGTATCAGAGCTCAACTAAGCAACTCGGATCTGCCCAGATTTCTGTTTTCTGTTTTCTGCGCACCCAGTCTAGGGTTTTCTCTTGATTTCTCTGCCATCGATCGGAGATAAGGGAAAGGGCTGAAAAGGAGTGGTCTCCCTCTTCCCTTGGAGGTCTCTATGCCTCCAGTTGTGCTGTTCATGGTCGGTTTCTGTGGTTTCTAAGAAGCCCTCCCCTAATCGATGAAGAGAAGAGGGCTGATTCGTGTGGTGCAGTGGGTGTCTTGTGTGGTCTGATTTTTTGTGTGGTTTGATTTTCGGGTGATGAGGTAAGAGATTTCTATGCATATTTTTGTTATGAATCAAATAAGAAGTATGTTTTAGATCGTATGGTGGGATTTCAGATTGTAGTGTGCTAGGGTTTATGCTGTTTTTAGTGTGACTCGAAGGGGGGAGTGGTCCTCATATAGTGTGGTGAGATTTCAAGTAGTCGTGGGGTAGGGTTTGTGGTGTAAAGAGTGCAATCTTCAGCAATAACAAGTGCTTAAACCAGTGTGATCAGTGTGTGGTGTGGTCTAGTGTGTAGTGTGCCGAATTCAGTAATAACAGAATGGAGCAATGGGAGATAGCAGTGATAGCAAATCTAATGTGATGATACCTATTGACTATTTGAATGTTCAAATGACCTCCATTAAACTGAATGGAGAGAATTATGTGTTAGAATGTTAGAGTGATGTTCGGCTGATAAGAGTTCTTATTAGCCCATACTTATGTTTATCTTATCTTGAAACTGAGCCTGTGTTAATGGGCCTAATCCTGTTTAATGATTTAAGTCATCTGGGTGTCCCATCACTAATCAGGGGCATCCCAGTAATTTCTTGTACTTTGTACTACTCATATATAAATAATAGCATGGTCGACTG